AAGCCGGGCTTCCGCGCTAGTCACTAATATTGCACTATTCATGCTGCGCTGTACTGTCATACAGTTGTTCTTTAGTACCGTAATTGTAATGAACTTATTTAGAAAGACGATATTCTGTAAATGCTGAGCTCCTAGTAGATACTGTTGACAGCCAAAGATAGCATGGAAAAACGGGAAATACCCTTTGCTTACGACCTAAAAGCATTGCAGACCTTAAGCTATTATAAAATACATGTTTCTTTAACCCTTCAGTTTACTAAAAGGGTTACGACCGAGTTCTAGGTTAAAATTACCTACACGCACAAACAGGCCGCATTATAGCATACTAATTACTGGCCTTAGCAAGTATGATTACTAGAATTAACTCTCCTGACATTCGCATACTACTTCTGGCAGCAGTATCATAGCCATCGTAGTCTACACTTTAGGAAAAAAACAGTGCAATCATTGATGTACTCTGACCCTCAAACATAGACTCTTCTCAAATTGCATTAATATAGGACTTCAATTCTAGTTGAGAACGAGGGAACACTAACCCAGCGCTGACTCTAATTAATGCCATTTCTAACCAAATAATAGCTTCAGTATCAGCATTACTATCACTCAGCCATACCGCTAGTGAGCAGCACTATAAATAGTAGTAGCAGTAGTTGAAGTATCAAACTTGGTCTCCTTTAATCTTTCTGGACACATACTGAAGGTGAGTGAGGATAGGTAGTGCAGTAGTACCAGCGAAAACGACTACTGTCACATAAAGCTAAGTTAGGTGGCGTTTCTTGCCTTCGTTGGAGAAAGAGGCTTATGCCTGATTCCTTCTCGGTCATCTCGACGTTTTCTTGTCCCCGGTTCAAGCGGGGAGAAGGTTTAGAGTGTGGTAGAAAGCTGCTTGTCTACTTTCACTATACCTGACTACAGTCACCATCTCTGCTCTTGGGCAACGAAATCGGTGGTCGAACTATAATCATCGGGTATTAAGTAGCAACTAAGCGGGGTTTGTGATGCACACGTAATGTGGACCCCTCGTTCCTGTTTTTCTGCAAGCAGTAAACGTAAATTGACATTCGTATCTGAGTTTAATATAATCTTATGAAAGATTACGTTCATTTTTTACTATAATACATTTTCGATAAATTCCGGACCCAACACTTTCTAATTCAAATGCTGAGCATGTGCGGGTGCCAGATTTGCTATTGTGGGTAAGTTTTATTGCGAAAAAAACACTGAACTAGTAAGATATATAGGAAACTTCGCTACCTGATATATGTGGAATTTTTGTTTATATGTGCTAAAGTCATCTACGGGGCATAACGCGTAGACGCAGGCACTTTGTCGTTGCAGGTTGTGAGAATGGGGGGTGAGTCCCGCGTCATTTGTTATAAAGTTCCCTTTTTTTAGTTCGCTTCCTTGATATCGTCAAGCCATTCTGCGCTATATTGCCCGAAATCGCTAGGCCTGAGCGCAAGATTCAGTTCCGTGAAAGAGTATTATGGACGGGCATCACTCTAATGATCTTCCTCTTTTGCTGCCAAATTCCTCTCTTCGGCATTATGTCGTCGGAGTCAGCTGACCCTCTTTACTGGCTCCGCGTCATTTCAGCATCTAACAAGGGAACTTTGATGGAACTCGGCATCTCGCCAATAATCACGTCTGGCTTGATTATGCAGCTCCTGGCAGGAATTCAGGTTTTGTCCGTTGG